AAGGGGTTAGACTTTCTTCTTCTCTTTTTACGATAAATCCCGCAGACACAATTCACGCAAAAAATATGTCCCCTCCATCGTTTTCTTCTTGCGCAAACCAACAACCATCTCTCTCTCGCCATCATCGATCACCCACACCCCACTCTCGTGATCTGAGCGGCTGAGCCCCTCCGCGAGTTCCCTCCGCGATGACCCCGCTGCTCATCTCTATCGCGCGTCCCCGGCGAGTTCCGCCATCCTTAGTCGCTGCTCTCGACCTTTTTGCTGAACCCTCACCAGTCATCATCTTCCCGTGAGGCAGTCCCCGCGTTCCTATCGGTGCTCGTGTTTCTTTTGGGTTGTCTGTTTTCGCGACTGCGTCCCACTCCCGTTCACCGTTGCTCGTCGTTGTCGTGTGGTCACCACCATCGCCGAGTTTTGTTTCGCGATCGCCACCAAGGCCCATCGCCGTTGTCTGTGAACGTCATCGGTGCCCAGTGCCGTGCTCTCGGGCAGACCACCCGCGCGACCTAGGCGAGCTGAGCGTAGCCGTGGAGCCCCGCTGGCGTTCACGTACCGGCCGTTTCAGCCCCGTTTCAAGTCCTTCGTTCGAGTTTTCCGAGGATGATACCCAGGATGTTAATCTCCTTATATTTTGATGTGTTTATATGTGTTCTTTGAAGCCTTGTGATATATTTATGAATAGGGTTTATAATAATTTATAAGTTATGTGATTTTTGAGGGATTTTATTGATATATGTGAGATCACGTGAAATCTTGTCGAATTCATGTTAGGGCTGTAGAATTGGAACCATAATGAGTCCTTGGCCTGATGGTGAAGGCCTCGGACGATTTCGATGTTTGTCGAGTCGAATACGATTTTGTGAACTTGAATAGTTGTTGTTTATGTGTTAAATTCGTGATAAATCACATGCTGCTCCGATTGATATAAAATGTTGGTTGTCAAGTCCACTGATGTTCATATAGGTCGTGTAAAAATTTCATGATTTAATTCCAACTATAGCTAGTTTTAATAATTGTTTTGATTTCTGGGCAGAATCTTGTAAATTGCATAATAAATCGAGTTGTACTCCAATTTGGCTTAAATTTGAATATGATGTCTCTCTGTTTTACTTGGATGTCGTGTAAAAATTTCATAATTTTTGGACTTTGTTTGTTGGGGTAATTAATTATTTGTGTTATTCTGCTGAAACTCGTTTTATATATGAAAATTCGACATATTGATGTAAATTGCTGAAACTTGGTGTGCATACTCCACTTATGTTGTATTATGTGACATAAAAATCTCAGAATTTATTGAATTCATTACGGTAGGTTTTTGTTGAAGATATTATTTCTGCAGAATCTTTACAAAAATTATCATAATTCGTGTGATCAGTATATTTAGCTGCATTTTTGATATGTCATACTCCGCGAGCTGAAGTTTAATGTGCTAAATTTTCATGATCAAATTCACTCTGTAGGTCAGCCTTTTGATTAAAACTTGTTTCGGCTGGAATTTTCTTTTAATTTTGTAAAATTGGGTGTTTCGCGTTTAGGGCTGAAACTTGG